GGCGCGCGGGCGCGCTCGCGCGCGCGCCGCCGACGGCGTCGTCTCCGTTTAGCCACAGTATTCTTGTCGTGAGACCCCGAATGATTCGGGTGAGATCAACGCGCGCGCATCGTCCGCTTCCGTCCATCGAATCGACGCTCGCCCGTTCGCCATCCCTCGCCATCGCCGTCGTCGTCGTCGCGTCCGCCGTCGCGCCCGCGCCCGTCGTCACCCATCGCCCCAATCGTCACAGATCGCCCCGCGCGAGCCCCCGCCTGGGCTCGAACGCGTCCGCCATGGCGCACCCCGCGCGACGACCGTTCCGCACCGACGGGACGAACGTGCGAACGGCCACCGCGTACGCGAACCGCGGTCGACGCGCGACATCCATCGGTCTCGTCTGTGGCTGTGCGATCGCGCTCGTCATCTCCGTCTCGCTCGCGACGACGATGGTGACCTCGGCGCGGCGCGCGGTGGAGGTGGAGAGCCTGAGAAATAGTCTCCACGACGTCCGGATGCGGGTGAAGGAGAAAGAGCGGGCGTTGGTGGAGATGAAGACGACGACGGAGGCGCGATTGCGGCGCGCCGAGGCGGCGGCGGAGCGGGCGCGCGTCGAGGCGGAGGCGAAGGATGCGGCGGCGAAACGGGCTGTGGACGCGGCGAGGGAGACGTTGGAGACGGTGGAGACGCGCGAGGCGGTGGAGAGACATCGGGAGGCGGTGGAGGCGGCGGTCGGTGGACAGACGGCGGATGGGGCGACGGAGCCGCTGGCGAGAGAGGCGGAGGACGCGTTCAGCGAGAAGGCGATGCGGGACGTCGCGGACGTCGCGAAGGTTGTGAAGCGTGCGAGAGTGGTGAAGGATGTTGAAGATGACGAGAACGAGGGTGAGATTTCGAAGAAGACGGAGGACGAGGACGAGAGGGGGGGGGAGGACGCGTCGGGGGACATCGCTCGGAAAAAGGTCAAGGTGGCGTTCAAGAGCGCTACGCACTCCGATCCACTGCTGAAGAATCTCGCTCCAGGGGCGCCAACGTCCAAAACTACCGCCGAGTTCACGTGCAACGGCAAGGAGAACACTGAGCTTTGGGGATCCGTCGTAAAGGATGGTGAGATCAACGTGCAACAGGACGCCGGAGCGTGCTGCAACTCGTGCGCAGAGTTAAACGTCAACGGTGCGAACAGGTGCTCCGTATGGGTGTACAATCCGACGTCAAAGGCGTGCTGGTTGAAGTACGAAGAAGATCCCGTGAACGCAAAGCCGGCGAACGAAGGTCCAAACGTTCCGTGGACGTCGGGATACTTTGATTTGCCCAAGAACAAGCTTGAGCCCAAGTACGAACCTGCGACGGGGAAGAAGGATCTACCGAAGTGTTTGCACACCATAATGACGAGTAGTGGTAACGTCTACATGAACTGGCAGTCAAGAATCATGTACTCGAGCTATCTCAGACACGCCGCGGAGCCTGGAAGCATAATGAAGGCTTTCACGCGCATCTTGCACAAGGGACACGAGGACGAGCTGATGCACGAAATTCCGACGATGCGATTCAATCCGGTGCAAACGAAGTGCGATGGTTGGTGTGACTATCCAGTCGCCGATCGATCCAAGGCAGTGGCGGATTGGATACTGACTGCGGACTCGGAGCGCTGCTCGCACGTGGTGATGGTTGAGACGGATCACATCATCGTCAAGACTCCGTCACCAAAGATCCTTCTCCCGCAGGGCGAAGCCATGGGATTCAAGTTTGGATACATGAATCCTTCGCAACCGACGCTGAAGAAACTCTATCCAGAGTACTTTAAGGATGGACAGAAGATGCCGCCCACCGGGAACTCTCCCAGCGTCGTCAACACTGTCGACCTGCGGACGATCGCTCCGCTTTGGTGGAAGTTTGTCAATGAGACTGAGACGCCGGAGCAGCTTCGAAAGGAGTTGGGTTGGGTGCGCGATATGTACGCGTACGATCTTGCCGCCCTGGCGTCCGGTGTTAAACACACGCTCGCCGAGGGCCCAGATAGCCTTCTCTTGGCGCAACCTCCGGCGGATCACGAACTCGGAAACGCGTACATTTTACACTACACGTGGGGCCCAGAAATCTACGACAAGGACGATAAGTTCGTGTGGAAGTTTGACAAGCGTTCGTACGGTGAAGGGCAGTACGGTCAAGGTCCGTACATTCTTCAGGAGATTCCCCCTCCGCCTGAGTGGGACGAGTCAAAGGGTCTCCAGTTGCAAGACTTTTTCAGACCGCGCGCCTTGACCGAGAAGCGCTTAGGGTTGATCAAAATGCTGATAGATGAGTTCAACGTTGCCGTGCGCGCGTTACCAAAAGTTCCGAAAGGCTATAATACGATAGAGGAGGCGCGATTATACGTGTAGTCTGATCTGATGCTTTGTAATGGGATGGGAGTATACGTTACACTGCGGTACAGTCGAGAGCTAAGGCTTCACTGAAGCAAGAACAGGATGAGAACGATGAGGGCTACCAGGACGGCGATAACGATGCAAATCAGACGGTTTCTCGCCGCGCGCTGAGATTTGTCAGCCTTGGTGAGCTCCTTTTGCGCGTCCTTGGTGCGCACCGCCGTGCTGACAATATTCGCCTCGATGTCATCGATCATCGCTCCCTGCTCGTTCACCAATACCGCAAGATCTTGGAAGATTTCGTTCACCTCCCCAATCTGCTGCTGAATCTCCATGATTCCTCGCTCGCGCTCCTCGATCAGGGCGTTGTTGTACTCGAGCTCGCCGTCCACCTGCGCGAAATCTTGCTGCTCCTGTCTCTGCTCCTGCAACAACGCCTGCCCCGCCTCTTCGGCCCCACCGTCATCGTCCATCGTCCCATAATTCGCCCGCCCCTTCGCTTTCTGCGGCAAGAACGTCGACTCTCGCTCCGCGCACGTCCGCTGCGCCTTTTGAAAATCCTTCAACACGCCGTGGAAATCCTTCACTAATTTCTGATGTCTCCCCGCGTGTTCCGCCCGCGTCTCCTCGTCCACGTCGCTCGCGTTCGTCACCGCCTGCGCTAGGCGTTTCACCGCGAGCGAGGCATCGCGCGCCATCACGCCCAGTCGCTCGCGTTGGTCGTGCAACTGCGCTCGCAATTCTCTCGTGTCCTTCCCGGTGCCGAGGACGTCGACCGATCGTCTGAAGGCGCTCACGTGCGTCGTCATCTGGAACACCAGGGAGGAGACCGCGCGCGCGTCGGCGCTGAGGTCATCGTCGGCGGACGCGGACGAGCGCGGCATCGCGCGCGACGTGGAGGCGCGGGGAGATGTGCGGGCGGGGGCGAACACCCAAACGAGGGACTCGACGAGGGGTCGTGATCGGTGGATGGCGGGACGCGCGCGAGGCGGGAGGAACGAAACCGCGCGCGGTGAGGATTACAAGCCGCGGTGAGGAATCAACGCTGCGCCCCGGCGCGCTGGAGCGACGCGGTGTGGAGGGCCTGAAGCAATTTGTACGTGAAGACGGGAATGTCGGTGGTGTCGAACTCCATGGGCTCGGCGAGGAAGCTCGGGACGAAGCCTTCGATGTTGCCAAAGCCGAGGGGGACGCACGCGACCTCCTCGGCGACGCGGCGGCCGGGTTTAGGGGCGCCCAACGGGTCGTCTCCCGATGATTCGCCGTCTTCGCCCTCGGCGGCGCTGAGTCGGAAGGTAAAACCGGTGCCGATGTGGGTGAACGTGTGCACGCCGCGCGTCTTCTCCTGCCACCGCAAACCAGTGAGCGCCTCGAGCTGGTACGCGCTGAATCCGTCGTCGCGTCCACCCGCGCGCGTACCGCTACCCGTTCTCAAGGTCTCAAGCTCCTCTTCCATGCGCAACATCTTGCCTTGATACGCCAGAGCGGTCTCTCGGAGTTCGGCGTTCTCTCGCTCGAGAGCGTACACCTTTTCGTTCGCCCCCTCGGCGCGAGAGGCAATATCGCGCTGACGATCAGCCTCGTTTCGCAGGTGGTGCACGAGCTCGTCCGCTCGTCGTTCATGATCCATCAACACACCTTGCTGTCGCTCAGCCTCTTTCATGAGATCCTCGAGTTTCTTTGATTTAAGCTGGTCGTACTTGGCTTGCAGTCGCTCGTGAGCCGACTGAAGCATTCTGTACGCCCCGCTCCACGCCGTGGACTGCGGCATATGCGTTTCGTCGACATGCAACAAACCGTTCGCCCGATTCGCCGCATCGGTTGCCGCGGCAGCCGCCTTCCCGAGCTTGGACGGAGGTCTTCCTCTTCCGCGCGGCGGCGTCCTCACGCCCGGAGTCTTCATTCCGCGTGCAAATTCTGGGCTATCCATCGTAGATCTAGGGGAAGAGACCGAAGCTAATTTCGACACCTTGTTGCGACCCGCGTCCGATCTCTCTTGCGACTCGAAGTACTTCGCCGGTCGCTTCAAACCTTCCTTGGCGATCGCCGCCGCCTTGGCCATCGCGCTCACCTTTCTCGAGACGCCCGCCTTACCCGCCTTGTCCTTCTCCGCGTTTCGCTTCGCCATCACAGCCGCCGTCGTCCCCGCCGGTCTACCACGCCCTCTCTTCGGCGCATCCTTCTCCGGCGTTCTCGTAGACCTTCCCTTCCCCAGCTTCTCGTCATCTTTCTCCGGCGTCGTCGTCGCACGCACCGGCGTCCGTCCCGTCGCCGCCCGCTCCGTCGTCTTCGCGCCGTCCGTCGACTCTTTCCGCGTTTTCCGCTCGCGCGCCTCCGGTTCCTTCGTGAACGCTTTCGTGGATTTCTGCATCGGTTAAAATATCCTCACGTCAGTCACCGTGTCGCGACCGTCGACCTCTTCGCTCCACTCGCGCTTCGTTCCGTCTGTCCGGGGGAATCATCTTTCTCCCACTTTACACTCCCGTTCACGTCGCCCTTTCGCCCTCGCGACGGGCGTGAACGATTCAACGACGCAGCCTCGTCACACGCGTCTTCTCCACCGCGTCACGGCGTTCGAAACGCGCTCACGACACACAAACGACGCCATTTCAACGAAACATTCGATTTGAATTTCCCGTTGAACGAACGGACACTTCGCGATCGCGTTCTTCGCGTCGCGCGCGCGTCGTACGCACCATCCACGCCGGCGTGCTCGAGCCGGAATTGGCATAGGACACCGGTTTTCGCGTGCGCGTCTCGCGCGGCATCGCGGCGTCGTGCTATGCGGTGTCGCGGTGTCGCGCGCGGCGTGGGCGGCGGGCGCGCGAGCGAGCAAAGCGCGTCGCGAAAGAAAGCGTGCGCTCGGTGGCGATGCGACGTGAAGTGTTGAGACGTGTGCGATTGAGATTACAAAACTAAAACGAATGATCATCCGCGGCGCCGCGGGAGGCGCGAGCGATGCACGATCCGATGCTACTGAGCCACGCGTCCTTCTCGGCGACGGTTTCGCAGATGAAGAGGTGGGACTCGCCCATGCACGTGATCTCGAACGAAGCCTCCTTCCCGGTCTTATCGCACGCGCTCGTGGAGGAGAGACAGTAGCGTAAATCGATAACGCCTCGCGTTTTGCTCTCCGGGGTGACGTGGCTCGGATCCAGAAACCAGAAGAGCTTGCCATCCTTCAAGACGAACCAGCGGCGGCGCCAGGTGCGAATGACGTCGCCTCGCTTCGTGAGCCAACCCGCGCGCGCGGCGTCGCGCCAAAACTCCACCCCGCCCGTGTCAGGATCCTTCCCAATCTGGCTCAGCGACGCCAGCAGTCCACCGAGCACCATCGCGTCGATCACGAATCGTCGCGTCTCACGGCAACCCCTCGACGTACTTTGGATGCTCCGGGCTCAGCGGCGCCACGTGCACGACTTTCCTTCCCTTCAATTTATCCGTGCTGAAGTGCACCTTCCCCTGCACCAGCGCGAACAGCGTGTGATCCTTCCCTATCCCACAATTCGTTCCCGGGTGCCACTTCGTCCCTCGCTGTCGAGCGATCACGTATCCCGGGCGCACGACCTCGCCGTGCCCGCGCTTGAGCCCCAAAAACTTTGGATTCGAATCTCTCCCGTTGTTCGACGACCCGCCTTGCTTTTTCGACGCGTATCGCACGAAAATACTCTGCGCCCCCCTCGCGAGTTCCCGCTCGCCCGTCTCCGAGCGCGTCGTCGACGCCGCGAGCGCTCGAGCCGCGCTCGAGCGCACCACCGATCGCGCCCGCGCGAGCATTCACGCGCGTTCGCGCACCGATCCGCGTCCGCGCGCGGTGTGGGACGTCCGCGCGCGTGCGTCGCGTCCGCGCGCGTGCGTTCGCGCGCGCGCGTGCGGCGTCGCGCGCGCGCGCGGGCGTCGCGCCGCGTCGACGCTCGCGTGCGCGTCGTCCATCATACTCTGGACGGAAAACGCCCATCGACGTCACACACGCACCGACCATCATACTCTGGACGGAAAACGCCCATCGACGTCACACACGGCCCGTGGTCGGGGCCCCCGGTGCCGTCCGTGTGCCAATGATGGACGATATGTGTCTCCAATACGAGACCCCCGATCCCCGGACCCGCGGTCAACCACCGCGCGTCGACGCGACGGCGAAACCGCACACGCGCGCGCGCACGATGCAGATCTTCGTCAAAACGCTCACGGGAAAGACGATCACGCTCGAGGTGGAGTCCTCGGACACGATCGATAACGTCAAGGCGAAGATTCAGGACAAGGAGGGTGCGTGGATTTCGAATTTTCGAGACGCGACGTGGCAATCGTGATCTGGGAAGATGGCGCGATTGGAGGGAGGTGGAGGGGTGCGGAGGCGCGACAAGGGCGCTCGCGGTGCGATGGAGGGATGGGGATGGGATTTTGGGCGCGCGGTGGACGCGCGGGAGGGGCGCGCGGGCGGGGGGGGGTGAATTGTGGAATCCGAGGCGCGCGCGCGGGACGAGGCGGGCGAAGGGGCGCGCGCGGGGGGGTCCGGACGGTTCGCGCGCGCGCGGTGGTGGTGTAGGAAATGGGAAATGATGAATGCGTGACTGACGATGGTGCGCGCGCGTTCGCGCTTTCGTTTTCGCGATAGGGATCCCGCCGGATCAGCAACGTTTGATCTTCGCCGGTAAGCAGCTCGAGGATGGTCGCACTTTGGCCGACTACAACATCCAGAAGGAGTCCACGCTCCACTTGGTGCTCCGCTTGCGCGGTGGCATGCAAATCTTCGTGAAGACGCTCACGGGCAAGACCATTACGCTCGAAGTGGAGTCCTCGGACACCATCGACAACGTCAAGGCGAAGATCCAAGACAAGGAAGGCATCCCGCCGGATCAGCAACGTTTGATCTTCGCCGGTAAGCAGCTCGAGGACGGTCGCACTTTGGCCGACTACAACATCCAGAAGGAGTCCACGCTCCACTTGGTGCTCCGCTTGCGCGGTGGCATGCAAATCTTCGTGAAGACGCTCACGGGTAAGACCATTACGCTCGAAGTGGAGTCCTCGGACACCATCGACAACGTCAAGGCGAAGATCCAAGACAAGGAAGGCATCCCGCCGGATCAGCAACGTTTGATCTTCGCCGGTAAGCAGCTCGAGGACGGTCGCACTTTGGCCGACTACAACATCCAGAAGGAGTCCACGCTCCACTTGGTGCTCCGCTTGCGCGGTGGCATGCAAATCTTCGTGAAGACGCTCACGGGTAAGACCATTACGCTCGAAGTGGAGTCCTCGGACACCATCGACAACGTCAAGGCGAAGATCCAAGACAAGGAAGGCATCCCGCCGGATCAGCAACGTTTGATCTTCGCCGGTAAGCAGCTCGAGGACGGTCGCACTTTGGCCGACTACAACATCCAGAAGGAGTCCACGCTCCACTTGGTGCTCCGCTTGCGCGGTGGCCGGTAAGTCTAGTCATTCACTTCGTCCTCGCCGATCACTACTACTCTCGGTGCTCGTGATAAAGGCTCCTGTACCAAGGAGACTCGAACGCGAGGCGTCCGTCTCTCGAGGCGCTTGAGGTGTCGAATGCATGTGTACCGATTTCTTGTTTTAGACCGCTAACCAATGTAATGACAAGCGATGATGTTTCAACGAACGTCACCCTCGTTTAGTTCCTCCCCACGATACCGTCTCGAGCAAACCGTCTTCCCGCCAACTCCCGGACTCGCCCCACTCGCGCGCTCCGCGCGAGTCATGTCCGCTCCAGCCCTCGACCCCTCGACGCCGATAACCCTCGTCTCGCGCGAGGGCGTGGAGTTCACCGTCACCCTCGGCGCCCTTCGCGTCTCGGGCGTGCTCTCTCGGCTCTTCGCGAGCGCCGACGCGAGAGATTTCGAGGAACAGCGAACTCGGACGGTTCGACTTCGCGACGTCTCCACCGCGATCGTGCGAAAGATCGTCGAGTACTGCGAGTACAGACAGACTTACGAGGGATCAAACAAGGCGCCGCCGCCGTTTGAGATCGCCGGCGAAGACGCGATCGAGCTGTTGATGACGGCTAACTTTTTGGACGTGTAGCCGGAGCGCGAGTCGAGGCGCGGAGGATTTAATGCGAGTCGCTTCGAGCGATATCGCTTCGGTATCGATGACGAGTGATTCAGTGGTGATAATTACGTCGTTCGAATGCGATTGAGCATGCCAGCATCGCAGAGTTGCGCCTCGCACGTCGCGAGGATTTCGTCATCGTGGTTGGGATCTGTGAGCGTCGCCGTCGTCCATATGCGAAGTCCCGACGCCTCCACGGATTTGATCGAACAGTGAATCTTCACCGTGGAGTGCAAAGGAAGGGGCTTCTTGATTTTCGCGTTGAGCTCGATCGTGACGCAACACGGTGCTCTAGCGCACTTTACGAGCTCCGCTGTGGTCTCATCGAGAATCGTCTCGATGCAACCGCCATGAGCGAGCGTCCACGTGTTCGTGCCGATCGCGCCAGAATCACCCACGCGAGCGACACCGACGAGCTCAGGGTGCTCGTTCGACCCGCGCGACGCCTCTCGATAGAAGTATCGAAGGTCTAGACCTCTCCTCGCGGCTTCGTCGCCGACGGCCCAGGACTCGCACGTAACGAACGTTCCTCGCTTTGGACCTGGAATGGCCTTCTGAAACGGCTTCAGCGAGGCGTCCAAGCTCATCATCGTCAACACAGGGTCATCGCAAGGGAACAAACCGTGTCGACGAAACGGAATCCCGGTCGTGAAGACGTGTCGTCGATAGTCTCTCGCCGCGTCTTCGTGTGAATTCAGCATCGAACGCTTCGTCATGTCCTCCATCCCCACTCTGCGCTCGCTCGCCTCGGACATCTCCACGCGTCCGCCGCCCGCTTGCTTACACCTTCGTTCGATCACGCCGCGCGGGACGTCGGCACCGTCGCTCTCATAGTACGCTCTCACCTCTCGCTCGCTCGAGCATCCGTCGAGCTCGTCCGCTTCTAATTCCAAAACGCCCGCGTGCATCTCCGCGAGCTCGATCGAGAGGTTCATCATGCGCATGCGCGCCCGCTCCTCGATCGCTGCCTCCGGCATCGTCCGTCGTCCTCTGCGTGCGGCGACCGCGCGACCTCCGAAGTGCATGAAAACGCTCGTTGTAACGCTTAAAACATACCGCTATTCGGTGTAATGTATCAAATTCCTTGAAAGTTCAGAATGCGAATCGACGACATGCAGCGCGAGGTGCCCAGTTTTCCGACTCGACGCTTCACACGACGACGAGCGGCGACGCGCGAGGCGATCGACGTCGTAAAGAGTGCGGACGAAAGAAGAAATATTTTAGCGTCGAGGACGTGGACGATGGCGCCGAGGGGAGCGATCGCGGTGCGCGAATCGTCGACTTTGAAAGCGCGCGCGTCTCGGAGCGAGTGACGACGAAGCGGCGACTGTGGACGACGACGCGACGACGCGACGCGGGCGTGCGCTCGGAAACGGAGTTCATTGATATTAATCGTGTGTCACTACGACGCGCAGGGAGCGATGGAGGCGCACGCGCGCGGGAAGGGCGACGACGCGATGTCGCTGGTGAAGATGCTGCACGCGACCAGCGAGAAGGCGAAGAGGGAGTACTTGGCGAGCGATCGAGGGGTCACGGCAGTGTGCGATAGTTTACAGACTGTACGTATGAATGCTTTTGTTCTCGCGATCTCGCGCGGTGTGAGCGCCATGCGATTCGCATGAGAACACTGCAATGCTCGTTGACTCAATCGACACTTGATGCTGACGGCTCGATTATATTTGTTTCAATCGCAGGAGCTCAAGCGTCCGATCGAGGAATGGAAAGACGACCTGCTCGGAGCGTTGACGAATTTACTCGTGTCTTTTACCGATCTGGGCGCGATCAACGTCGATAAAGTGCGTGATAAATTGATCGGCGCGTTTGAAGCTTTGGCCGATCGAATCGCTGCGGCGGAGGGCGATTTCTCATCAATGTCGCAGAGCGAGCGAGACGTCTTCGTGGACGTGGTTTGGATCATCGATCAGTTGGCGTGTTGCGAGGAGGCGAAGGAGAAAGCTGAATGGGAGCCCCTGGTGAATCTCGCGATGGACGTGGTTCTTGTCGATCAGTTACCACCTCTGATGCGTCGAGAGACGTTGCTGTGTTTGAAATCAGTGACGCAAGGTTGCGTGGATACATCGACGGCGCTCACGAACGCACTCGTTCCGAACGGCAATGCAAAACGAAGTAGACGTATGGACTCATCGACGAAGCTCGGATCTCTGAGTGAGATATTTTTGAAGTGTGGCGACTTCAGCGCACAGAAACACATCGCCGAAATTCTTTATAGACTTGTGCGGGCGAACCTCCTCGATCAAGACGTCACCGCCAACGTTTTCACGCACGTGTCATCGCAATTTAAGGATTTGTTCAAAATTGAAAACAGTACACAGATGTTCAAATCGCTCAAGACTTTGGTTCGACACTATAACGCCGCTCAAGGAAGCGCGGCAACAGTTAAATCCTTCGAAGCTGAAGAAGTGACCATGAAGGGCTTACGTATGCAAGATAACTGGGTGAACTTCGGACAAGAAATGATGACTCTTCACGTGTGCTTGGAAGATGACGGAGGAGTCGAGCCCGTGGACGTGCTGTACTCGAACATTCGCACGTTCGCGATGCCAGAGAGACGCGTCGCGCAGGTGGGCATTCGCGAGAAACCCATCGGATTGGCCGCCGATGACCCTTTCGATCTCGAGGACGACGAATGGATTGAGATGAAATTTAAGATTGATGACGTTCCATCCGTACTCGAACAGTTGTATCGAGTCGGTAGGCACAGCACCGCGGTCGACATATGTGTCACAAATTTTCTTCCCAGCAAGAAGGTTTCCACCGGCATCATGGACACCAGCTTCGATCTCGAGCCCATCGCCACTGTGAATCCCACTCCGCCCGCTACCAAGTCGCAGAAGAAACCGGAAGTGAAGAAAGCGCCTCGTAAGTCCCGCGGCAAGGTTGTCGTCCAGTCCGACTCCGACAACAAATCCGATTCCGGGGAGTGCGAGACAATCGTTCCAATGAAGCCTGCGCAGGCGTCTCGGAAGCTCCCCAAGCGCAAAGCGAAACAGGAAGGTCTCAAGAAGATGAGCGAACAGCTAAACGGTGACGTAGAAGATTTCGAGCTCGCTGAAGAAGCCGAGCCGTCGCCATCACCGCCGCCGCTGCGCGTTGCTCCTCCCGCGCGTAAGCTCAAGTTCACGCCGAAAGCTGTAAGTCCATCGATCGACTCTGAGGAGGAAACAGAAGCTGATGACGACAATCTGGACCAAGACTGGACGTATGACGACATTCCTGCCCTTATGAAAATGATCAGAGCGAAGGGGACATCGAAAAAGCAGCGAGAAGAGTTGCAGCGCGTCGTCGTCAGCTTGAAAAGCGCCGTTCCGCCGGGGAAGTCCTTGTTCAAGACTCCGGCGGCGACGCTCGTGGTGCCGAAGACTGGACCGCGACCGGGCATACTTAAGTCTCCCGATGCCAAGCGGCTCAAGACTGGTTATTACGACACCGCGCCGGATTGGAAGAACAGATTTGCGCCGAGTCGAGAGGTGAAAAAGGCCGTCACCACGACGGCAACGACCGACCTCAACTTTGATGATGACGACGACGACAGCGGTGGTGGTGCATTAACCCCGCTCTCGAACTTTCTCGACATGTCCGATGACGTCTCACCGCTCTTGAGCGAGCAAAAAGCGAAGAAGAAGTCCGAAAAGCCTAGGGCCGTCTCGGGTGTTGGCAACCTTGCCGCCATGGGTGACGACATGGCTGGCTTTCAGCAGATGATGCACTCGTTGGCCGAGAGAAACCGTCGAATTGCGCGCGAGCGCATCGAATCACTCGTGAATGAATTTAAGCTCGAGTCCGAGGCCGCCGCTCGCAAGCTCACGCAGCAAATCGAGCAGGATTACGACTCGTTTGCGCGCGCCGCCTCGCGCCAAGCCGACGAGCGCGCGCGCGAGGCCAAAGCCGTCGCCTCCAAGGTCACCGCCCTCACCGCCGACTTCAAATCCGCCCTCCGAGCGTGCTACGAAGAATTCAACGCCAATAAGCGCGCCGCCGTCGCCGACGCCACTCGCGTCGCCGACGAGCTCGCCTCGCTCGACGCCAAGCGCTCCGCCGACGTCGCCAAGTTTGCCGCCAAGTCCGACGCCAAGCGCGCGCGCGGTCGTCGCCGACATCGCCACCGCCGCGAGAGGCGCGATGAAGAACGACAGCGGTCAAGTCCATGCTCCTCGAGCTCGCTCGCGAGCTCTGATCGTCCACACGCACCGCGCGCGCGACCGCGTTCGCCCGCGCGCTTGAAACGCAAAAATCTGATCTGCATCTCCCTCTTATCGTCGACGTCATCCGAGGTTTCGAGCATACTTTTCTGAGTCATGAGTCGTACCAGAGTCCCTCTGGCCCACGCCGACGATTCCCCGCTGGCGCCGTCTCGAGCTCTCTCGCGCGCGTGCGCGTCCCGCACACGCGCTCGCGCTCGCGCACGCGCACGCGAACATGTTCGCAAACGGACTGGCCTCGGGCGCGCGCGATGCGTCGGTGTTACGAGGACGCGCGCGCGGTGGAATCGCGCGCGGAGGCGTCGCTCGGGGAATTATCCGCGCGAATCTTCGCGGCGGCGGCGACGGTTTCGCGAGCGATGCGCGCGCGCGCGCGTCGATCGGACGGGCGAAGACGCGAATGATGATGAATCACGGTCGATTCGTTCGTCGAGAGCGATGGAGCGCGACGACGACGACGGAGGGATCGGCGATTCGAGGCGAAGGCGAGAGCGCGAGCACGGAGGAGATCGAAAAGTGCCTCGAGGACGAGGAGTGCAAGTTTGAGACGGTGGCGTCGCTGGAGAAGACGTTGGCGAGCAGTGGAGACGAGGTGACGACGGCGGTGAGGACGGAGGCGGCGAAGACGGAGGCGAAGAAGGCGGAGGCGAAGAAGCCAAAGGCGTTTGTCAACGCGAAGACCATCGACCAAGAGGATTACGAGGACATCGTCGTGAGCGAACCGCCTTTGAACATTGAGCGATTGAAGTCGATCGGTACGATTGCGCGATCCTTCGAGATTTGGAGCTTCGTCGCGGCGTTTGTCTTCAGACGAGTGTTCATTGGCGTGAAATGGTCGTACAAGGGTGGATACTCGGAGGAGAAGCGCATCGCACGACTCGAGCGTTTGGCCAGCTGGACGCGAAAGTCTCTACTTCGACTCGGGCCGACGTTTATCAAGGTTGGTCAGCAGTTCTCCACGCGCGTGGACGTGTTGAGTCCGCAGTTCATCCGCGAACTCGAAAAGCTGCAGGATCGCGTCCCACCGTTCCCAACCTCGATGGCCAAGGAGATCATCCAACAGGAGCTCGGTGGACCGGTTGAGTCTTTTTTCGATGACTTCGAGGATACGCCGCTCGCGGCGGCGTCGCTCGGTCAGGTGCACCGCGCCAACATGAAGGCGACGGGTGAACAAGTCATCATCAAGGTGCAACGCCCGGGTCTCAAGGAGATCTTTGACATCGATCTTAAGAACTTGCGCGTCATCGCCAAGTGGCTGCAAAAGGTCGATCCCAAAAATGATGGCGCCAAGCGCGATTGGGTCGCGATTTTCGACGAAACGGCGCGCGTATTGTACGATGAAGTCGATTACACAAACGAAGCGAAGAATGCGGAGGAATTCAAGAATCAGTTCGCCGGAGTCGACTGGATCAAGGTGCCTAAGATCTACTGGGAATTCACGAAGAGGCGCACGTTGTGCATGGAGTACGCGCCGGCGACGAAGATAAACGATCTGGAAGGGCTTAAGAAGATCGGCGTAGACCCTGACCGCATGGCTCGCCTTGCGGTGGAGGCGTACTTGCAACAAGTGTTGCGCTTCGGTTTCTTCCACGCGGATCCGCACCCGGGTAACGTGGCCGTCGATGCGGGCGATTCCGAGGGTAAGGGTCGTTTAGTCGTGTACGATTACGGTATGATGGGTCGTATTCCGAGCACGACGCGCGATGGTTTGTTGGACCTCTTCTACGCAACGTACGAGGGTCAAAGCGACAGCGCCGTCAAGGCTCTGATGAAGATGGGTGTGCTCGTTGATGGGGGCGCCGACCTCACAGCGGTCAAGCGCACGGCAGATTTCTTCTTGACGCAGTTTGATGCGCGCATCAACGCGCAAAAGAAGGCTCGAGAAACGAACAGAGAGGAGTACGAGGCTGAGTTCAAGGCACCGAGGACTAAGGAGGAGAAGCAGGCGGTACGCAAGAAGATCTTGTCGAACATCGGAGAAGACCTCTTGGTCGTCAGCAAGGATCAACCGTTTCGGTTCCCGGCTGAATTTACTTTTGTGGTGGTGCGTATACTCGATTGCGCGCGCTCTCCGCGAAAAATTGGACGGTTTGCGATGATGAGAAAACGCTATCTAGATACTCTTTACGATGAATGTTTCTGGGTTTCGGCCCGCAATGTTGATTACTTTACAGCAATGTGGTTTCTCTGAGCATATCGTGAAATTACATTCTTCGCGACCACTCGCAACCGTGACACAACTGACCATAGACTGACGAAAACTGCTCTTCTCAATCGCAGCGAGCCTTCTCCGTGTTAGACGGTATCGGCAAGACGCTCAACAAGAAGTTCGACATTTCCGAAATCGCTGCGCCTTACGCGCGCAACTTACTCATCGAAGCCAACCCGAACTCGTTACCGCCGCAAGTTGTCACCGCGCAGCGAGAGTGGTTGCGTCGCGCCGACGCGCAAACCAAGGCTCTTGTGAATCTCATCAAGGGTCCAGATGCGATTTCTGATGTCGCGGACATCTTACGTCGCATTGAAACGGGTAAGCTGAAGATTCGCGTGCGAGCTCTCGAGGCCGAGCGTGCGATCGAGCGTATGTCCATCATGCAGGGTGTGATGATGCAGGCCGTGATCGCGTGCGCCGCTACCAACATCGGCGTCGTGATGTACGTCAGCGGCCTGATGCTTCAGGCTCAGTGCGCGTTTGGCTTTGCCGGTTTGTTGGCGTTCAAGGCTCTCACGGGACAGCTCAAGGTGGCGAAGCTGTTGAAGAAGGAGAACTCCATTCTTGGGGCTTAAAGCAGAGCGACTGATCCTGAAACGAGGCGCAATAGATACAAAAGTAAAATGATTTAATGACGCAAAACGCTTTGCACAATTTCCCGTCTCCCAGCCCACTGCGAAGTCTACGGGATCCTCATCCGGTACGTACGCGTCGAGACCCACCGAGTCCTCGTCCTCATCCACGTCGTATCGGCGTGCGTCACACAACGCGAAGTGAAATGATAGTTGTTACATGAGCGCTGCTCTAAAAATCGCAATCCGTCCTAAAGGCGTGATTGTCTTCTACGTTACCCATCACGCCAGCCTTTTGATACTGATCTACGCGGTGCTCAAAAAAGTTAGCTTTACCCTGAAGCGAAATGAGCTCCATCCAATCGAACGGGTTGACGGCGTTAAATAGCTTTGATGCTCCGAGCTGAATGAGTAGTCGGTCCGCGACGAACTCGATGTAAGTGCTCATCATGTCGGCATTCATGCCAACGAGCGAGCAACTCAGAGCGTCACACACGAACTCCTTCTCAATTTTCACCGCGTCTCCTACGATATGATGAAGCGTCGCCTCGCTGAGAGGATTCTGCAACATGCCGTACAGCAAGCAAGCGAAGTCGCAGTGCAAGCCTTCGTCTCGGCTGATGAGCTCGTTGGAGAAGGTTAAACCGCGCATCAATCCTCGCTTTTTCAGCCAGAAGATGGCGCAGAATGACCCACTGAAGAAGATTCCTTCGACGCACGCGAATCCCACCAGCCTTTCGGCGAAGCTCGCGTCGCTACCGATCCAATGAAGCGCCCAGTCTGCTTTCATCGCCACAGTCGGCACTGTGTGAATGGCGCGAAACAATTCGGATTTCTTCTTCGGATCCTTGATGTACGTGTCCAAAAGCAGCGAGTACATCTCGCTGTGAATGTTCTCGATCGCGAGTTGAAATCCGTAGAACGATCGCGCCTCTGGAAGCTGCACGTCGCTCATGAATCGCGAGCACAGATTCTCGAGAACAATGCCGTCGCTCGAGGCGAAAAACGCCAACACGTGAGACACGAAGTGCTTCTCGTTCTCGTTCAGCGTCTGCCAATCCTTATAGTCGTACGTCAAATCAACCTCCTCCGCCGTCCAAAAGCTCGCCTCCGCCTTCTTATACATCTCCCAAACCCTCGGATGCTTGATCGGAAAGAGACAGAATCGGTCCGGATTGTCCCTCAACAGCGGCTCCGCCGCGTCCCGCTCTCTCGCCGCCATCGCCCGCGCGTTCGCCGCCTCCTCATCCGCTCTCACCGCCCACGGACTCATCGCCGCCACTCTCACCGCGACCTCTTCCAGCTCGAGATGCGTGCTCGACGCGCTCCTCGACGCGCCGCCGCCCTCGCCGCCGCCGCCGTTCGCGCCCGTCGCCAATCCACCCCCCCCATCCGTCCATCGCCCCGTCTTCCCTCCATCGTCCGTCCCACCCGCGCGCGCGCACGTCGCATCCATCACCCGCGTCGTCATCGGTCGCAGATCTTCCGCGGAATCCCGCACCATCGACATGAATCGCCTCCCACCGGTGAATCGCGCGACGGTGCCGACGAATGCACCCGCGCACGAATCCACCCACGCGCGTCGATCCACCCGCGCGCGTCGCTTCGTCGGTGGATGCAATTCTTTCCCTCGCTACGCTCGAGCGACGTCGCCGTCGCCGTCGTCGCGCGCGCCGTCGTCCCGTCGCGGCGTCGCGTCCGTCGGCGACGTCGCGCGGGACGCGGGGGTGTCGAGTCCCTCCAACCACGAGTCATGACCCGTGTACACGATAAACACATACATAGGCGAACCAGCGCGCACACTATGACACACCCACGCGCGCGCGTGTGTATGTAGGGTTTAGGGCGCATCCACGATCGCGCGCGATCGCCCGCGCCCCCGCGCGCGTCGCCCGTCGCACGCCGACGCGCCATGGCGAAGATCCCCGCGCGACTGCGATCGGTGACGTACACCCTGTCGCCCATGCGCACCGGGGTCATGCACGGATTGTTCAAAGATTGGGCGAGCGGCATGGCGAAGCGCGTCACCGAGAACGCCGTGGACGTCGGGTTGTTCTGCGCGCTTCCCACGATCGCGACCGTCATGTACGCGCGCATCGCGTCGTTTGCGTCCGCGCGCGCGCGTGATCGGCGCGATCGAGAGGGTCGTGGGCGATCGAGGGACGGGACGGGCGGATGGATCGCGGACGTAGGGCGCGCGGGCGCGCGGGACGCGATCGGGCATTCGGTCGACGCGGCCGTCGTGCGCGGTGACGATGCGCGAGGACTGACGTGTGTTTGATATCGCGCGAACGCAGGTACGCGAGCAATTACAAGGAGCAAGAGAAGCTGCACCACCGGTATTAGGCTGGGGGGCGGGGCTCGCGCGCGGGACGACGCGCGCGCCGTCGACGCGCGCGTCGACGCTCGTCGCCGCGGTCGTGATTCGCTCCACGAACGCGCGCGATATGTAACCTATCATGACTTTTAGCGCTTCATCACCCGTCGGTCTCTGTGTGCCGACGACGACCCCTCGCGCGACGCGCGCCCGCCCGTCCCGAACGTCCGCGGACGAGCCGCAGTCGACGGCGCGCGCGCCATGTCGGCCGCACCGGCCGACGGCGACTCCGACGTCGATGATGGTTTCTACGAGCGCGCCCCTAGCGACGAAAACGACGAAAACGACGCGTCCAGAGCGAGAGATTCCGGAAGTGATTGGAGAGAAATTCTCTCAACCGTCGACGTCACGCGCGCGATGGACGAGGTCTTCGGAAGAGCGAGCGGTGCGTCCGGGGATGGACTTTCAATGGGCGTGCGCGCGCCCACGTGGGCCGAGGACGCGCGCGCGGAGGCGGAGCAGAGGGAGGAGCGGCGGTTCGAGGCTGACTTGGCGGCGGCGATCAGCGCGTCGTTGGGAGAGAAGCAGAGCGCGACTGATGACGGTGGAAGAGGGGAAAGCGGGATGATGGAAGAGGAACGCGCTATGTTGGAGGCGCGGCGGCAGAGTTTGCGAGAGCGGTTCGGGGGTTCGGCCATGGCGGAGCGGTTTTACTCGCGGTATTCGCTGAATTTTTCAGAGCGCCTGGCGGATGGCTTCTATAGCATTTATCCGAATCCAGTGGATGGCACGTTTCCGAAGACGTTCGATCTCGAGTCCCTGCGCGCGTTCGTCGCCGATGACGGCGAGGGCGAGCGTGAGGTGTCGATTGTGGACAGAAGCACGGATCTTTTATTGCAAGAGTTTGACGCAGAGTGCTTTGATTTAATAGGCCACATCGATGACAGATGCGATGCTTCTCCAGAGCTCGCTCGCCTCGTAGCCGAGAGAATGGGTGGTCCTGCGGAGAGCGACGAGACGCTACGAGAGCGATGGGAAGTCGAGCGTCGACGACTCAGCAAAGAGCACGGCGGCGCTGTTTTTCCCATTGGTTCCATCAAGGTTGGTTTGCAACGTCACAGGGCGCTTCTCTTTAAGAGCGTGGCGGATTTCTTAGAAATCCCGTCGCAAATCGTGCGCGGAAAGTACTACTGCGGTCACGACGACGGTGTGATGATCATCGTCATGTGCGGCGGAATGAAGCGCATGCTTAATCTGATGGATTCGCCCGGCCGCATGCAGCAGCCGTTCAACTCCGACTCAAAGACTCCTTCAGTGTACTCCGACAGCGGTCGCATGTCTCCAGACAACACCGCCGACGCTGGTCACTTTGGCGTCATGCCGCAGGAAAACTTGCCATCGCACGAGACGAAGGAAACGCCTCTTCGATTGCAAATCGCTGTCGACTTGACCATCGATCCCTCGCAAATTTTACTCGGCGAGCGCATAGGCATCGGCTCCTTCGGAGAAGTCCATCGCGCGCTCTGGCGCGGAACAGAGGTTGCGGTGAAAAGATTCCTTGATCAGGATATTTCTCGAAATCTTCTCGATGAGGTGACTTTTGAGATCGATATCATGCGAAGGCTGCGGCATCCGAACGTCGTCCTACTCATGGGCGCCGTCACTGTGCCTGGGAACTTATCAATCGTGACCGAGTTCTTGCATCGCGGCTCTCTGTTCAAGCTGTTACATCGAGAGCAACCTCCTGCCGTCGCGGCCGCATTGGACAATCGGCGAAGAATGCGTATGGCCATGGATGTCGTTCGCGGCATGCACTACTTACATTCGTTCGAACCGATGATTGTTCACCGAGACTTGAAGTCGCCAAACCTTCTTGTTGACAAGTCATTCGTCGTCAAAGTTTGCGATTTCGGTTTGTCTCGCATGAAGCGAAACACCTATCTCAGCTCGAAGACGAACGCCGGAACTCCTGAGTGGATGGCGCCCGAGGTACTGCGCAATGAAGCCAGCGACGAGAAGGCTGACGTTTGGTCCTTTGGGGTCATTCTCTGGGAATTAGCTACCGTTCTCGAGCCTTGGCAGGGACTGAACCCGATGCAAGTCGTCGGTGCGGTCGGATTTGCTGGGAAGCAGCTCGAGATTCCCTCAGACGTCGACGAGGTTATTGCGAACATGTGCCGAGACTGCTGGCAAACAAATCCGCGCGAGCGACCGAGTTTTGAGCACCTCGCAGAGTCGCTCCGCTCCGTGCCACTCGCGCCAAGTCTCCCGAGCGACCCCCCGAGCAGAGAACGTTCGCGTCTCACGGTCCCCACGGTCCCCCCGGTACCCGAAGAAGCTTCGAAACCCAATCCGGATGATTGGTCGGACGACCGCTTTCGCGTCTGAGACCCACCTCGTGTAACTTGTAACTCGTATCATATCATCCCCATCCTTCACACTCCGCCGCTCGAGCGTCCGATGAGAGCCGCGGCTAGGAAGGCCGTTGGCCTCGGCCTTCTCCCCGCCGCCCGAGCCACCTCGGTTCGCGCCCCGACGCTCGCACGCGCCGAAGCGACTCCTCTCAGAACGCTCGCCCATCAGCGCGTGCACGCGCGCCGCCTCCACGACGCCAACTCCATTCCCCCGGAAGATCGACGGCGCGCGATGATGATGAGCGCGCCGCTGGGATTCCTGGCCGGCGCGTTCGGGAGCTGCGTCGGAGTCGGTGGTGGAGCGCTCGTGGTCCCAGTGCTCGCGAGCGCGACGGCGGCGCCGCAGCGCGTGCTGAGCGGGACGACGCTCGTGGCAGTGGTCAGCACGGCGATCGTGAGTGCAACTCGGTTCGGGAGCGAAGGGCTTATCGATGTAGAGGCGGCGGCGATTTTAGGGGGGGCGGCGATGCTGTCGGCGCCGATGGGGGCGAGGATGACGGCAAAGATGAACTGCGAAGCGCTGAGGCGGACGTTGGCGTTTTTTCTGCTCTTCGCGGCGCCGCTTGTGCCAATGAAGGCGTTGGCGTTTAAGATGAAAGAGAGCGATGATAACATGAAGGATAAGGTTCGGGCTTTCGACGCGAAGAGCTCGGCGCCGCAGCTGGTGGCGATCGGTATGACAGCGGGTGTCGCTTCTGGTTTGCTCGGCATAGGCGGAGGCACCATCGTGACGCCATTGCTCGCGCTGGTGACGCCACTGCCGCAAGCCGCGGTACTCGGAACATCACTCTTAGCCATGATTCCACCCTCCGTGGTGGCTTTAGCGACGCATCACAGGATGGGGAATGTAGAGCCGAGAATGGGGGCCGCACTTGCTTTCGGCACGGCTCTTGGGAGCGCGTTCGGAAGCTCGTTCGCGGTAGATGCGCCACGCGGGGCGCTGGAGGCCATGTTCTTCTTTGGCATGCTATTTCTATCTCGTAGCACGTTCCGAGCGCTGAAAAAGCTTTGAAAGAGTTGTACATCATTTACACACATGCGTTGTTACTGAAATTGTTCACATTAATCAATGTACTTTGAGCCCTGTGCCTCGACGACCCAAGCGTCCATGTCTCTCTGGAACTCCTCCTCGTTTGTGGATGCGAGTCTGTTGTTCGTTGGCATCGGCGGCGCGAACGCATCGCCGGTGAGAAGCTTTCGAATCAAGAGCTGGGATGTTTGCGGACGGAACTGCGGGCACATGTGCCCGGCGCCGTGTATGGTGATGAACGAGAGATTGTTCTCGTAATCGACGACGTGGCCGGCAAACTGCGCCCCGGCGTCAATTGTCGCGAGATCAGGCCCGTAAAGCAGCGGTTTCTCTTGAAGAAGCGACGCCGGAACTCCAGAGGCATTGAAGAAGTACGGTCGCTGTGAGCCGCCCTTGAGCTCTGCGAAACCAACCTTGATGATTGCTTCGCGAGTACCTTCGTAAGATACGCAAGGATCTGTGTCACCATTATACACGATGGTTCGTTCCAATCTTGGCGAGATGCTTCGATAGAAATCGATCATGCTCTGCGTCGACGTGTCTGCGTCGTCGTTGCACGCGGCCCAAGACTTTGTGTACAACCAGTTGTCGGTCGGACCGGGCCATTGCTTCGCCGCGGATTCGTCCACGTGGAGCGCCTTGCGAACATCACCACGCATCATCCACTGCGTCGTCATGTAATCGAGAGTGCCGGGTACGTTTTCTCCGCCCTCAGCAAGTGCGGCGGGACCAAACAACGATAAATCGTTGATCCATGCAAATCGCCAATCCTGGCTGAACGCGTTTGACGTTTGCCACAGGAACTTGCGATGTGCAACTTTGCACTCCTCAGAAGTACCCTTATCCACGACATGATCAAACACCTCGAACAAAGATTTCTTCAGAGTCTTCTTCTTCCACTTCCCGTGTGTCAGTGGTTTTGTGTAACGATGGTTGCATGTGTGCCAAAGAAGTTTGAATTCCGTCTCTGGAACGAAACCATACTTGTGTCCGTACCAAAGCATGTCCATTGAGTCTTTCTGTGACTCGTTGTCGGTGCACGGATCCCCCACGGCGACGCCTGCGAGGGGAATCCTCGACTCATTGCCGCTCTGCGCGTCGTTGTAATCCAAAATTGAACGAGCCAATGTAGGGACGTACACGCCGGCGTACGATTCACCGGTGAGATAAAGCTTGTTTCGTCTGAGCTCGGGAAACTTCTCGAAAAAGCTCACTACGGCCGCCCGAGCGTCCGCGGCCGTGCTGATGTCATCATTGGCGCAATCGCCGCCTCGCGTCATCTCTTCGCAGTACGACCATCCCACGCCCGCCGGTGACTCCAATGCCACGAAATTCGCGTGTTTGGTCCAAGAGAACGGATTACGCATTAAACCACCCGTGGCGTTGATCAACAGCGGTCCCTGCTCCTGTAAAAATCCTAGCAAAGAACTCGATCCTGGTCCGCCGTTGAACCAAAACACAGTTGGCTCCGTTAACCAGTCAGCCGTCTCCTTCGCCGCGAACCAGTAATGCAGCATCGTCCCCGGAGTCGAACTCGACGCATCCAAAAACCCCGAGAACTGCGCCGTGGGTGGCGCGCCGTAACCGGGGAGCTCGCGCACGGCGTCGGCGTCGCGAGTTGTTTTCGTCAAACGAAGATGATTAAAATCACGATCCAATCGCACCCGCGCGCCGTCCACGCCCCCACCGCGCGCGCTCAGCGCGATGATCAGAATTATCCACACACGCACGCCCATTGTGCACGCGCGCGTCGTCGCTCGAGATACCGCACGCGTGTCGTGGAGTCGCAACTCTTCATCACGTGTTCGTTGGTTTTCAGCTCCCTGGAGACACGAAACGAACGCGAGTGCGCGACGCACGGCTTCGTTCATCGATGACGGACGACGATGACGTCCTCAAGCAAGCCAGGGGTCTTCCCATCGCGCAACGCGTGAAGCACGCGCACTGGAAGGCCCGCACGGAGGCGTTCGATGAGATGAAAGCGACGTGCCAGCGACATTCTGATTACGCCGACGCCGACGTCCTGCGCGCGTTCGGTGCGCTCGCGACCGCGTTCGTCGACGCGTGTAATGACGTGGAAGATACCGACGTGATGACTGGCGCGATATCGGCGAGGGCGAGCGAACGTTGGAGAGATTTGAGATTCAAACGACTGACAGCTGACGCGTTGGCTCGAGCAGGCGAGTGCGCCGCGAGCGCGTGCGCGGACGGGAACGCCGCGGCGCTGGACGCGGGGACGGAGGCTGTGGTGGCACTTTTGACGATCGCGGATACCTCGTACGCAGATCGCGAGGGGGAGGCGATTTTGGCGGGCGTGACGACAAAGGGGTTCGGCGGACGGCCGCGGGCGCAGGCGGCGGCGACAGAGTGCTGCATGCTTTTGATCGAGCTCGAGCAGGGAGAAGCAGTGATCGACGCGCTTTTGAGAGCGACGGGACACAAGGTGCCTAAGATTGCGCTGGCGGCGACGAACGCGATATTGGGGGCAGTGCGGGACTTTGGCACGCCCAAGGTTGTTCCGGCGGCTTCGATTTTGAAGGGATTGGCACCCTTATTCGACGCCAAGGATGCGAAGGTTCGAACCGCGGCTAAAGATATCACAGTGGAGATGACGAAATGGTTAGGCGCGCAGGCGGTGAAGCGGGATTTGATCGATAAAATGCGAGCAGGCATGCAGGCGGACGTGAACAAGGCCATCGCCAACATTCAATCTGGGGCGCAGGCGCGTCGATTCTTGCGCAAAGATCAACCGGCGGCGGATGACGCGCCGGTGGCGGCAGAGGCGCTGTCAAGAGATAGCGGCGTACAAGACGTATCGACTTCCGAGACATCGGTGCCGGTCGCCGCGCCCGACGCATACGAATATTCCGAACCAGAGTCGATTTTGCCGCTTCTGGAGAAGCCAGGAGAGGGGGAAAATCCAAAGTTTTGGGATGGAATCGTCAGTAAAAAATGGCAGGAACGCCTCCACGCGCTGCAGACGCTGACGAAAGTAGCGAGCGTGCCGAGATTAGCCGTCGCTGATTACGGCGACGTTTCCAAGGCGCTGAAGCAGGTCATCACGAAGGATAGCAACGTTGCATGTGTCGCAGAGGCGGCTCGCGCCGCCGCCGCACTGGCCAGAGGCGCACGCAAGGAGTGGACGCGCGATGCGCGAATGTTGTTACCGGGCATGCTCGATAAATTGAAGGATAAGACGGCGACGGTGATTGAGGTGTTGCAAGGTGCGCTGAGCGAGTTTTGCAAATATTGTTTCGAGCTAGTGGACGTCGTGGACGACGTGTCCGTCGCGTTGACACATAAAGTTCCCAAAGTTCAGATTGAGACTCTCAAGTGGTTAGCGAGATCGTTCGAAGATATGAAGTGCGCTGAAGTTAGCCCGTTACATAAGAGTTTCGGGCCGATGATCGTAAAATGTACGAGCGCATCGAACGGAGATGCTAGGAATAGCGCAATGGAAGCCATCGCATCGTTGGCAAAAGTAAGCGGCGGCATCAAGCCCATTAATTTCTTACTCATGGATTTGGACGCGGTAAAACGGAGTAAAATAGAAGAGTTAGCGTCTTCTAATTCGTCGGCGCCGGTATCGGTGCCGGCGCCACAACTGACCGTTCAACGCTCGAACACAACCAAAGTGTCGGGCCCTCAAGCGGAGCGGCAGCCAATCGCAAAGGCTATCCAGCCGGTAGTGGGGAACGAACCGCTGATAGCGCGCACCGCGACAAATATTGCAGAAAGCGTATCTTCCATATCGAAGGATGACGCTGAGGCGCGTGTCGTCGCCATGCTCACCGCAGACGTCGTCACTGGTCTGAAGAGTGCAGATTGGAAGGAGCGCCTTGTGGCGATGAATTCAGTCCTTCATAAGGTTCGGGCGCTAGATGACGCTGCGAGCGATGCATTTGATGCACTTGCCATTGGACTTGCCTCTTTCCCAGGTTGGAGCGAAAGCAACTTTCAGGTGATGGATAAAATGTTTGAAACGTTGGAGATCCTGAGCACCAAGTCCTGCTTTGAATTCAGGCATGCTGCGGCAGCGTTTGACGTTCTCGGTGAAAAACTTGGTTGTTTTAAGCTCGGATCCCGAGCCGCGTCGACATTGATGTCATTTTCAGAGGCACTTGGGCCGAAGATGATAATGTCGCGTCTTCGAGAGAGAGCGGGGAACCATAAAGCTCCGAAGGTGGTCGTCGGCGCGTTGAATTGGGCTGGTGCAACCGCGATGGAGTTTGGTTCTGAGTGTCTCGACGTCGAAATGATGTTACAGTGGGCTCGAGAAGCGATGGAAACACCGAACCCCATGATTAAAGGCGCCGGTGCAAAGCTCGTCGGGGCACTTCACGCCGTCGTTGGTCCGACCGTCAAGCATGGTCTCGGCGGTCTGAAGGATGCTCAGATGAGAAGTCTGGAGGTGGAATTCGCAAGAAATCCGTACGAGTGCGATATCACGCCAAAAAGAAAGGTTAGAGCGGCCAAGGTTTCTTCACCCACGGCGACTCGTACTGAGCCAACGCCGATGGTGGCGCCAATCGAATCGGCACCAGCTCTTGTCAATGAAGAGCCACGAACAGACATTAGCAACAGAGTTAACGATGGTTTCATCAACAATATGAATGATTCAAATTGGAAGACTCGAGCGGCGGCTTTGGAAGACATTGGGATCATTCTGAACAGTGTGAATAATCGTATCTCGCCGAGCGTGGGTGACTTGTTCAAGAACCTTAGCGCACGCTTTGCAGATTCAAACCGCAACGTCGGAGCGACGGCTCTAAATGTCGCAGGTGAGGTTGCTCTGGCCATGGGAGGACCCGTGGAAAAGATCGGTCGAAATGCTCTATCGGAAGCTGTCAAATACTTTGGCGATAGTAAGAAGAACGTACGAGAAGCCGCGTTAAAAGCGTGCACGTGCTGGGTCACCGCTGCTGGATTATCAAAAGTTCTTCCAACCATCGCAGAAAAGTTTCAAGAGTATTCGGCAAAGATCACCGCCGAGGGTAAAAAGGAAGTCGTCGAGTGGTGTTCGACGATGTATAGTCAACACGAAGGCGTCGAAGACACCGTGTGCGCGAGTGCTGTGCATATAGCGGCCGTTGGATTGATGGACAAAGCTACAGAGTCTCGCAAGGCAGGTACAGCGCTCATGGATGCGATTCTTGCCAAGGTCGACGCCGAAGCAGTTCGCAGCGCATCAAAATCTCTCAAAGGCGATGTATCGAGCGCGATAGACGCTTACTTCAATCGCGGTCAATCGAAAACCTTGGCTTTTCGGGCGGCTGGAGCAGCCGTGGTCGCCGCAAATGCGCTGAAGACCACCGCCGCGGAGCGAAACGCGGCGCGGAAAGCAGTGACGCTGGGCGGTGGCTCTAGGACGAGTGAGGCACCAATGTCAGTTCCGAACGGGCCGGTTTTCCTGAAAGACGCGGAGAAGGCCGTGCGCATACGTAAATATCCTCGCAAGGCTATGAAGTTTGAACCGCTGCGCGATGACGACATATCTCTGCTGACGAACGAGCTCAAGACTGCTTCTCAAGCTTACATCCGCGCAGACGTGCACAAGCTGATGTTTACGAACGATATGAAGGCACATCTCGCAGCGCTCGATGCCCTTGAAGAGGCTATCAAATCGGATGAAGCGGAGTTGATCAACAGCCTCGATCTACTAATTCGATGGCTCGTGCTGCGCATAAGCGAATCGAGTCCAAACACGCAAGTGCTCACTCGCGTTCTCGAGGTTGTCCTGGCAGCGCTGCATGCCGTATGCGATTTGGACTACAAACTCGTCGAACAAGAGGCTGCGATTTTGCTTCCCGTTTTCGTCGAAAAGTCTGGCCACAACATCGAGACCATTCGAGACAAGTTCCGCAAAATCTCTAGAGCGATTCCGACGGTGTACTTGGCGTCCAAGTTTGTCGGCTACCTCACCACGGGCATGGTTGAGACGAAGAGCTCTCGCACTCGCGCCGAATGTCTCGACGAAGTCAGTCGGTTAATCGAGCGTTACGGCATGCTCGTGTGCTTGCGAGAGGACAAAACATTAGAACACGTCGCGAAGTTTGTGGAGACGAGAGATATGAGCCTCAGGAATTGCGCTTTGAATTGCCTTGCGTGTGCGTACAAGGTTGCTGGAGATTTAGTGTGGAAACGCATCGGTCAACTTCCAAGCGAGCAAGTCAGAGAGGTTGTCAGCGATAAGTTTGCTCGTGTCGCAAAAGAAATGACTTTGAACAACGAGGGTGCGCCTGGAGACTGGGTGAACTTCAATCCAATCCCCATCACGAGCGCGCTAGAAGGCGCGTCGGTTAGCAAGAGCGTGGATGTTTCAACTCTCGCATCGTCAAGGTTGGCCAACATGTTGGCGAGCAGCGCGACGATCGAAGGAACCAATTCTTCAAAGGACCGCGGCATAAACATGCTGTCGCAGTCAATTTCAGTGCTGCCTTCGCAACGTCCAATCTCGGCGCGTTCGCTTGACGTGGAGATGTCAGACGTGCCCATGCGAGCTCCTGCGCCTGAGTTCACTGAAGAGCGCGTCTTGATTGGGGCGCGTACACCGAACGAGACGACTCTGACAAGGCCCAAGACGAGCGTTACAGAAGTCAGTGCGAGCGCGTGGTCCAGGGCATTAACGGGTGTTAATGATCTTGACGAACAAGTCGCCGTCGAGGCGATGAAAGCGGTCTGTCACGAAATTGTGAAAGTGAAAGACGACGTTGCCGCGCACGCCGAGATGGCGCATGACATCGAGGCCATCGTTCAATCTATGGTGAAGAGAATCGAACACATCTTTATCACCGCCATAGCGACGCCGACAAAGGGGACGCGCGCGTGCCGATACGTCCTGAACGCATTGATGCACGTATATCAAGACCGCGCTTTTGCCACTGCGATCTCAGAGCCGACACAGCGTGAGTTCATCGAGCAGCTGATTCGCGTGATTTTAGACGAGCGCGTGGCAAAGCTCGAAGATGGAGAGTCGTTGATGAAAGCGGCAAATATCTTGTTGATCGCCATGATGGAAAACTGCACGAGGTCGTTTTCGTTCGTTGCATTCGTGACGCTACTTCACAATCGACCGGCGAACGTTCCGACGCAGTTTGATTCAATGCTTGTCAAGTGCCTGATCAAACTGACGCGCTCACTGCAACTATCGGTCGACAACGTACACATCCCGACCATCATCGGAGCTATTCATGGATACTTTGAAGCTTTCGGAATGGACGAGATCAACGCGCGCGCAAAGTTGGACGATCAAGGTTTGCGCGCTATCAAGACGCTGCTGCACGAGATCACTGCGCGTGTCGGAGACAATGTGTACGACTATTGCTCGAGCATTCCGTCTCGCACTTCGATACCGACACCGATCATATACTCTTTCATCGGCGTGAATTTGATGGCGCCCAACTCGACAGCGTCGCCGTCTGTTCAGCCCATCAAGCTGGCCTCGCAGCCGACTCCCGGGTCGAGCGTGAAGAGACGGTTGGTGGCAATCTTCAAGAAGATTGGCGAAAAGGGGACGACGAGTCAAGGATTGGAAGATCTCTATACGTTCACGAGAGATCATCCAGAGGAGGATTTGACCCCACACCTCGAGCGCACGAGCGAGGCGTTCCAGATGTACATCAAGCGCGGTTTGCAGAAGGTCGAAGCTGTGCACCTGCGGAAAAGTCCGAGCGTCTCGGTAACCGCTCCGATCAACCCTTCGCCGGTTGCCGAGGCGAAATCAAGCGCCGCAGTGTACAGAGAGCGTTTAGCGCAGCTTCAGGATAATATTGGCGTCGAGATCGCTCCAGCGAAACCGAGCGAAACGGACGACGCACTCTCGGATCTCGAAAGACTCAGACGACGAATGAACTCGATCAACGCGAAGGCCACTGGGCAGGAGCTCCCTTCATAAGACGATGAAATAACAAAAGTGTGTTGATCTATTCGGTTTCCGCGTTTTCGTTGGATCGACTCCCATCGCATCGCCTTGCGCACTTAGTTCTTGCGGTTTTGAATGTAATCGGCGAGACCGATGAGGGGTCGAACCTTCACTGGATCGAAGCCCTCCAACTCCGCCTTCGCCTTGCTAATGAGGTCTGCGGCGATGCGCTTGGACTCTTCCATGCCAACTAAACTCGGGTAGGTGGTCTTACCGACGGCTACATCCTTACCCGCGGTCTTACCGAGCTCTTCACTACTCGCTGTGCAGTCAAGGATGTCATCGACGACTTGGAACGCTAACCCGATGTTTTGCGCGTATCGTTCTAACTTGCCAATTTGCTCCTCGCTCGCCCCCCCGAGAATCGCCCCAGCCGTGACACTCACCTCAAGAAGCGCCCCGGTCTTGTGCGCGTGAATGTACTTCAACGTATCAACCGTCACGTTCTCCGGACCCGCACCCTCCGACATGATATCCACGACTTGGCCCCCGACCAACCCTTCGCTCCCGACGCACTTACCAACGTCCACAATCACGCGCAACACCTTCTCCGCGCTCGCACCCTTCGTTTCTCTTCCGATGTACTCGAATGCGTGGCTCAATAAAGCGTCACCGGCTAAAATCGCCATCTCCTCCCCGTACACCTTGTGGTTCGTCGGCTTGCCTCTCCGAAAGTCGTCGTTATCCATGCTCGGCAAATCGTCGTGAATCAGCGACATGGTGTGAATCATCTCCAGCGCGCACGCCGTCGGCATCGCCGTCTCCATATCACCACCCACGAGTTCGCACGCCGCCAAACACAGCGCCGGTCGAATCCGCTTCCCCCCCGCGAGCAGGGAGTATCTCATGGATTCACTCAGACGCTCCGGGTAATGCACCGGCACGCTCGCGTCGAGCGCCCGCTCAATCTTCGCGTTCACGCCCTTGATGTACGCATTAAATTCACGCTCACTGTCCGCGCTCGTCGACGACGCCCCGCTCGTCGCCGGCGCGCTCGCCTCCGTCCGCGCGCGCCGCGCATCCGTCCCGCGTCGACCACCGATCGCGCGCCGCGCCACCACGCGCGCGCTCGGCGCCCGCGCGGTGCTCCGCATCGCCCTCGGCGCGCGCGACGCTCGGGTAAAATACACCGCGCCCGTCGCCGCCCCGCGCGCGCGCGCGGTGCCGTGTGACGCGTCACGCGCGCGCCGGCGTCCCGCGCCGCGCCCGACGCTTATCTCTTCACGTCGGGAGAGACACGGGGCGGGGATCTCTCGGATCTCCTCGAGATCTGTCACGGCGAGTCATGACCGGTGACATCGAGAGACGCATCCGATCCGAGGTCTTGGCCGGGGCGGGGCTTTGACGAAAACCCATACGCGTCCGAATGCGCGTGCGACCGGGGCGGGGCTTTGACGAAAACCCATACGCGTCCGCACGCGCGCGCGACCGCCGGGCGACGAACGCACGACGCGCCATCGCGCGACGAGCGGTCGACGCGCGCGATGGCGCGCGCGGGACGATGCGTGACGCCCGCGA